TTCATATAGATAGATCTGCTGTAATGCCTGGCACGCAGTAATTCAGGAAGAAAGGAAACGAGTCAGAGATGAACATTGAGTACATCCTGGACCCTCTTCCATACTTCCTCCCTGAAATACTCAGGTGTCCCCATGGCTTGAGTTACCGCTTAATTACTGTTTTCCTCTCCTGTTTACGGAAGTATCATTTGGTTTCCTAAACTGAGTTTTTGAAATTGAAATTTTGACAGTTGAATCACTTAAAATGCTCTTGGAAAAGGACTCATATTTCCTTTTATAAAGAGTTGCCTCTCAATAGGAATAATTGCTATCTAATATGTTACATTAGAAGAATATTGAATATACCATGGACTGCCAGACGAATGAAGAAATTGTCTTGAAGTAAGTACAGCCAGAATGCTGCTTAGAAGCAAGGATGGCGCAACTTTGTCTCACATACTTTGGAAATGTTATCAGGAGGGACCATTCCCTCGTGAAGAACATCGTGCTTGTTAAAGTAGAGGGTCAGCGAAAAAGAGGAAGACCCTAAACGAGATGGATTGACACAGTGGCCACAACAATGGGCTCTAACATAACGACAGTGGTGAGGATAGTACAGGACTGGGCAGTGTTCCGTTCTGTGTTACATAGGGTGGCTGTGAGTTGGAGCTGACTCGACGGCACTAAACAAGAACGATGTGTTATAAGACTTGTTTTAAGACTGATGGGTCAGACTGGTAATCCATTTATTAGTCCAGTTAAGTAAAATCTTTTTTTTTTTTAAATTGGTACCAAGGAGAATATACGAATAATTTCCTTGACCTCAAAGTCTTAAGTTTATTAAAAGCAGTCACAGACATATTACAGTATGCAAGAGGTTTCTCAACAGGCAAGGAGAATCAACAAGTTCATTGTGTCCATTGCAATAACATTAAAAATACTTTGTATTTAAAAAATGTAATTCATGCTCAGCACAGCAATCTTTGAAAATATATAAACAAAAAGCAAAACCAACACATGATCCTACCGCCCACAGAGATGATTATTAGTAAAGTGTTGGTGTTTGTCCTTTTGGTATTTTTACATATGGGTACGTTTATATACATCTACTGTTAATCCTTTAACCTGCTTTTTTCACTTAATATTAGTCTTACCATTTACTCATGCCATTAAATGTTTCTCAGAAATAGATTTTTAAATATCTACGTTAGGTAAATTATTTTACTTAAACATTAACTCTATTATTGGGCATTTAGGTTTGACCTAAGTATTCTTTGCCTCCATTAAGTCTCCAAAGGCCTGTGATCCTGTGTTAAATGCTGTGTAACTGTGTTTCCACCCTAAGTCCTGGAGCCAGTGTCCACATTGTCAGTTAGGGCTGGAATGAAGACTGTCTGATGAAGCGCGCTTATCCTTTGGAAAACAGCAGTGATAAAATCCTTACTGAAGTTCATCTTCCCACTTGAGAGTGTTCTTAGTATCAGAGCCTTTCTCCTCATGATTTGCCCGTCTCCTAAATGTTTACCATGGCCACTGGGCTCTGGGTACCTTGGTCCCTTTTCTCCTGAAAATTCTTCAGTAGTTTTCCCATTACAACTCAGTGAACCCTCAATCCTTAAAAGGGCCCACATTCATCCTTCATGTGATCTTGCCCCTAACGGTCTGTCTAACCTCATTCCAAGCCACCTGCTCTGCTGACTTAATGGACCCGACTCCCTTTGGTACCCGGCTCTGCCAGGTACCCGCTCTGCCAGCTCACCCTCCCTGCCTGGTCCCAGAGGGGCTCAGAGGCTCTGTAGGTGCTTTCCCTCTCCCTGTGCTCCTTAATCTAGGTAACTTTACTCAGCATTTATGTTTCAGAATGTTTTTGCATTTCTGCAGATGTAACCTTTTCAGAGAGACTTTCCCTGGCCACCCAGTCCTTTATTCTCTGTTAGGATCCTGTGCATTTCTTTCTTGGTAATTATTTGTATAAACTTGGTTCCTGGTCCTCTACTCCATGCCATCCCTGACTCCCAGCTTAAGCGCCAGGAGGGAGGAGAGCGTGACTGACTTCATAAATCAGTGTTTGGAAATAGCTGTGTATTTTCTGCTTATAGATCTGTTTATAATAGATTAATGTTGTTAATGTTGTTGTTAGGTGCTGTCGAGTTGCTTCTGACTGATAGTGACCCTGTGTACAACAGAATGAAATACTGCCCCGTCCTGCGCCATCCTCACAGCCACTGCTATGCATGAGCTCATTGTTACAGCTACTGTGTCAGTCGATCTCGTTGAGGGCCTTCCTCTTTTTTACTGAGCCTCTACCAAGCACAATGTCCTTCTCCAGGGACTGGTCCCTCCTGAGAGCGTGTCCAAAGTATGTGAGATGAAATCTTGCCATCCTTGTTTCCAAGGTGTATTCTGCCTGTACTTCTTCCAAGACAGATTTGTTTGTTCTTCTGGCAGTCCCTGGTATATTCAGTATTCTTTGCCAACACCATAATTCAAAGGTGTCAGTTCTTTGGTCTTCCTTATTCGTTGTCCAGCTATCGCATGCATATGAGGCGATTAAAAAACACCATGGCTTGGGTCAGGTGCACCTTAGTCTTCAAGGTTAATATATGGAACATGAATTTGATAATAGGAAATAACAATTTTGTTTTAACCTTTAGACATTGCCTTATCTTAAATTCGTGATGACCTTCCCTATACTTGCTTTTAGCTAGTTAATATTTAATGTTTGATAGAAATTCACTAACGTATCTGCAGACTATCTTGATGAAATGTACTCATATTACATAGAGTTAGACTTTACTGCAGCTAAAGCATATCTGAATGATAAAATTTAAAAAAATTTTGTGGGTAAAATTTACATACCGTGAAATATACAGATCTTAAGTATACAATTCAGTGAATTTTGATAAATGTGTGTACCTGTGTAACCGCTATCCCAGTCAAGATGTAGAACGTGTCCCTTACCCCCAGAAGCTCTCTTGTCCCCTCATTCAGGCAACCACTGTTCTGATTTCTATGACCATTGATTAGTTTTCCCTTTTGTATAGTTTCATTTAAAC